AAGATGATCACAAAAAATATTTTATATTTATTTATATATTTTTTTAAATCTATTTGATATGATGTATAATATATTATATTCCATTAGTTCTTTAAAGTCGTGTATCAGAGGCAGGAAACGTCTTTAATATTTACATTGTTGGAGGAAGTTAAATTATATTATTATCAACATTACGTACAGTCAGTGTTTTATCATGTGGTCATTATTGATACTTTGTTTTTTTGTAAACTCTTAATTTGAAAAGTCACCACTTCCTGTGGCAAAAGTACAGTACCTCTAACACACACACACACACACACACACACACACACACACAGAGCAGCTCAGCTGATATGATTTATTATAGTAAAAAATAAAATCAAACTTTGATCACTGCAGATTTAACTCTTTATTAAAACACCATATTTCATCTTCATCATCCTCTGACATCATCACCATCATCATCTGACCATCACAGAGTTAATATAAAAATCTTCATCATTAAACTCTAAACATGAAAATACACTGTAATATAATCAATAATCAATAATATAAAAAGGTGAATCCTTCATTAAAACTTTATTGTGAAAAGCTCCGGACAAACGACAGTCGTTATTTTTCATTTTCTACTGAGTAAAGTTCAAAACATCTTCATGATGATGATGATGATCATCATCATCATCCTCACACAGTCAATACAAACGTCTCTGTCGTCAAACACATTGAAATAAAGTTTTATTGAAAGTCTCCAGCAGCAGATTGATTGATTTATTCATCAGCTGAATACAAACCGATTGATTATATTAACAGTTAATAATCTTATACAGTGTCACATGACCTCATCACGACCTCAGAGTCTTTGTAAAGTCACTGTTGGCACTTCCCGTCTCCACCGTAACCATGGAAACAGACTGAAATATCAGCCTTTATGAAACATAGAATAATGATACACAGGAGGCGTTCAGGTACAGTACAGAGTGTAGGTCACCTGTGTTCTGACAGACTCACAAATACAGGCACATTGATCAGTGATCGTCACAGACATAGACATGAACACGCAGACGCCACATTGACTGTGTCAGCCCATTGCTGTGACACGTCAGCGACACCGCCATGTTGGAGAGAGCAAGACTTCCTGTAAACAAATGACAGTAAACAGAAGAGCTTTAATGTTTATGTTTCTCAGTCGACTGCAATGACTTTGTTTTTATATTCCTGGGTCCATGATCTATGTGTATCAGAAAAGAGTTTGTTCTCCAGTTCAGTAGAATCTTGATATTTAGTCTATAATGAATCACTGAATTATTTTTATGGTGTAAAATAGCAGTTGACCTATGGCTAAGTCCCGCCCTCAAACGCGATGAGCCAATCACAGCTTTTTCTGAGATTTGAAGTTTAAAAATGGTCAAACGGTGTGCATGGGGTACATGCAACTCTGACACAAGGTATCCTGAGAGGCTGGGCGACCAGGTGTATTTTTTACACTTTAAACCACATCTCAAGCGAGAAAAGTGTCTCCTTTGGATAAAGTTGTGTGGTAACGTTAGACCACAACATCAACTCAACGTGAATAAGATTAACAATGATGTCTACATCTGTTCTAAGGTAAGTCAACATTGTGTTTGAGGCAACATATTGTCACTTTGCTGGAAAGAAATATAAAGTTATCTTTAACATCTCTAGCTAACGTTAGCTAAAGTTAGCCTAACGTTAGCTCCTAGCTGCGTTGTTCATCATGTCACCTTGTTTGCTGGGAGTTCATTAGCCTATTTTGTTCTAGTTTTGTACTTTGGTGATTGTACATCATTGTTAGCTGTTGTCCAAAGGGCTCTAGTTAAGCTAACGTTAACTTCTGGAGCTTAGCTTCATTAACTTATCTGTAATGGCAGAGATAACAAAGGTTGGCAAACGTTATGCTGAATGATTCAGTGTAAATACTGTAGCACCAAACTAACGGAGAGACACTCTTGGTAAAGATGGTAAAAAGGCCGTTATCCTTTTCTCATATTCTGAGCCAAAAACCTTAACTTCAGTGGCACTTTAACTTGTTGTCTTTGATGGTGACGGCAACCAGATGCGGTTCACAAGCGTACACTGTGACCTGTAAATTTTGGCTTTTAATTTAAGCTTTTCATCGACCTTCTCAACAATAAAATGATGAATATATCCCTCCAATGTGTAGTTTAGGCCCTTTTGGTTACTTCTCAATGACATCTGATCGTTATGTCTCCAAAAATCATCAATTGCCGTGTACTGTGACACCTGCCATAGCGCCGCTCACTGAATGTTGATAGTTTGTCCGAGTGAGTGGAGGGGGCGTGGCTTAGCCATAGGTCAATTGTGATGAGGGATGTAAAATCTCACATGGATTAGATTATTTTTCTTGGTTAATATTTGTGGAGATGTCTCTACAGAATATAATCTAATGTGGATGTAGATAACTAGCATGCTAGCTAGCTAACTCTGTCTGCTTCTCATTAACTCCTCAATCAACAGAATAAAGTCACTTTCACCACTGCTCATTTTAGAGAGAAAACATGTTCTTGATTTAGATGATCAACTGGACGATGGATCATAGATGTTTGTTTCTGGCTGCCAGCGATGAGCCGTAGCTAATGTAGCTAGCGCGCTGTTTTTATCAAGCTTTTTATTTTCCCGTACCTGTGTAGCAGTAGTTATCTTATTTTTTATCAATACTGTATAGTTTTTATTTAATAGTTTTCCACTGGGACTGGTGTTAAGTTGTCAGTGAGCGCCCACTGCTGGGCCTCTGCAGACTGCAGGGTGCGCCCCACAGATCAATCCCTGCAAACTTGAGTGGGACACCCCGTTTATAAATGCCAGTCTGCTGTCATCATGGTTTCTGATTAGCTCTCTGAAAATGTATAAAACACTGTTTTTGTTGAGTTGTAAAATTCAGGAATGCACCATATTGGATTTTTTGCAGATATCCAATATGCTGAACTCATTTGACCGATAACCAATATTGATATTGATATATGCACTATTTTCCCCTCCTGATGTCAGTGATCATCATCAAGTCTCTTCTGTAGTGGATTAACATCATATTATACAGACTGTGATGGTGACGGCCCACCAGCAGGTGGAGACATGAAACACTGTTCAGTGTCTGTGATATTCTTTCATTGTGATAAATAGGAAAAAGCATGTTGGCTGATTCTGAGAGTTCACTTAAAAGATGATATCAGCTGATATTGATGACGTGCCGATATTATCGTTCATCCCTTGTAAAATTTCCATGTCTGACACATCACAATGTTAAAAAAAGACTCCTTCATTCAGTATCAAGTGTTTTGGTGCTGATACTGTCGTGCTGTGAAGTCATTTATTGGGCTCGCCACACTGTGACTTTGGTAGCTTGCATGTTGTCTCAGAAAAAATCTGCAGTGTTTCCTGCTCACTGACTGCTGGCTGAAAGACTTCTTTCTTTCTGTGGTTAAACAATTTATGGAGCTCATTATCACGAGGGGCTGCTGTGAGATCTGATGTGACTGTGGTGTCACCAGTGTGCCATCCCCGTCAATGAATGGCTGGTTGGAGCCAAAGAGAGAATGTCTGTGCCTGGTTAATCACGTAACACAAGACAGAGAGTAAACAGCACTACGGCAGGACGCAGACCAGTCTACAGGACAGTTATACAACATAAACAGAGAACATGTTGTCTTCAGTGTCCTCAGTGATGAAAGTTAATATATTCTGTTATGATCAAGGAGTTAATAACCGGACAGCGTTAGCTTGCTAGCATGCTAGCTATTTGATGAGTTGCCTACTTTCACATAAAATTAGATTATATAGGGACGTCTCCACAAATATTAAGCAAGGAAAAATTCATGTTTGACAGATGTCAGATTTTACAGTTTTACATGACAATAAAATATCTTCCAGCACGTCAGTAATTCAGTTCCTGTCAGTCTAACACTCCTCTGCTGAGCGTCCAGCAGTGATTATAGACTAAATATCAACATTATAATAAACTAGAGACAAAACTTTTATCTTGTCTACACACAACAATCACAAACTCATTAATATAAAAACAACTCATTGCAGTCGGTTGAGAAATAGAACCATGACAGTGATTTTAAATCAGTAAAACAGCATCTTCTGTTTACTGTCATTTGTGTAGAAGTCTTGACCTCTCCAATATGGCGGCGTCTTTGACATATGATCCAGCGGCCAATGAGGCGTTTGTGTTTCTGAATCTATGGTCACAGGTGTTCACTTCGACCGTCTGCCGGCCAATCACAGCAGAGAACTCTCAGTGGTTTCAACATGAACACATTATCGATGGCTGATTAGTGACCATCAGGCAGTTATTGATCAGTTCTATTAAGTGCTCGTCAATAAGATCTGAATATAAATATTTATCTTTATTCTAAATATTTGTGTTGTATTAGTAAAATAAACCTGTCCATCTAAAAATAGATTAATTTTCATTTGTTAGATAAACATTAGTTATCGACCCTGAAACTCTAATATTGATAAGAGAATTGATTTTTTATCTAAAAAAAAGGAGGCTTTTTCATTACTGCTGACATCATCGCTGACATCACTGCGGTCAGACTCTCTGGTGTCATGAAGCTGGCTCACAGATCACCATGGTAACAGATCAGAACACAGACCAATCAGATGGCTGGAAACCTGACGTGACTCTTTCTACTTTAAAGTTTTGATCCATGGAGGTTTTATATGAGCCGAGAAGTGATTTAAAAATCTGTGACATCATCACAATGTAAAGTCTATGAGCCGAGCGGGAACTTGTGGGCGGGGCCAGTAGGAGAAATATCACTGCACATGTTCAGTGAGCTGCATACCCTCAAGCTAAACCAGGAGGCCAGAAACTTTTTTTGGTGTATGCACGAGGCGAGTAATAGGAGCCATCTTAACATGTGGTACGATGATATTATTAAAAATCTATGAAAAACTAAACTCTGTTATAAAAACAATAATTATTTTGACAATCAGCTGTTAATTATAAATCTTCAGTCACCAAATCAGATCAAACTGAAGACATATTTAACAATGGACTCATGTTAGTGGTGCTGAGCTCAGCTTTGTCATCTATCATCTGCCAACTGTATCTGTGACATGTCATCTGTCTGCTGTCACTCTCAACTGTCACCTGTCACTTTCACCTGTCATTTGTCACCTGTACCTGTCACTGTCACATGTCACTGTCACCTGTCACTTGTCATCTGTCACTGTCCCCTTTACCTGTCACTGTCACATGTCATCTGTCACTGTCACCTGTACCTGTCACTGTCACATGTCATCTGTCACTGTCACCTGTACCTGTCACTGTCACATGTCACTGTCACCTGTCACTTGTCATCTGTCACTGTCCCCTTTACCTGTCACTGTCACATGTCATCTGTCACTGTC